CTGCGTCCCCGCCCCAACCGTTCCACGAGTTCCAGTCCCAAGAACTCCTGCCGGGGAACGGGGGGAGCGGAGCGGAGCGGAACCTCACGCGCCTGCCCGCTGGGGGGCGTGCCCTGGAAGGCCCGCGCGGGCGGGCTGGGGGGCCTCCGTCGCAGGTGCGGAAGTCGTGGTTCGTGCCAGTGCGGCGGGGGGGAGGGGAGGGGAGCAGGTAGGAGGGGGAAGAAGGGGACGAGGAGGGAGGGAGAGAGGGAGGGAGGGAGGGGCGAGGAAGGGAAAAAGGAGGGAAGGCGGAGGGTGCGAGGGAGGGAGAATGGGGAGGGATGATGGGGAGGGGGGATTCGAGCATGGGATCGACGGCAGAATCGATTTATACCAAAATTGATGTCCCCGTCTAGTCTACGAAAAGTCCGCAGGATCTTCCGCGGATCTACGGAACAGTCCACGTGCCCTTGGTAGATTCGATTAGGAAATCAATTCTGGGATCAATCAATTCTGTAGTCGATGCCCTGTTCGAATCGCTCAGGTGGCTCCGCTTCCGCTTCTCCACTCCCACCGTCGAATTACAGAAAGTACGTGGAATCTTCCGCGGATCAACGGAACAGTCTACGCGAGTTTCGTGGATTCGACTGGGAGATCAAGTCTGGGATAAATCAAGTCTGTAATCGATCCTCCTCCTCCGCCTCCTCCTCCTCCTGACACCCCTTTGCACTGAGCCCCCGCCTCCTCCTCCTCCTCCTCCTCCTCCTCCTCCTCCTCCTCCTCCCCCTCCTCCTCCTCCTCCTCTTCCTCCTCCTCCTCCTCCTCCTCCTCCTCCTCCTCCTCCTCCTCCTCCTCCTCCTCCTCCTCCTCCCCCTCCTCCTCCCCCTCCTCCTGACACCCCTCTGCACTGAGCCCCCGCCTCCTGAGCCCTGCATTGCTCGGGGAGCTCCACTCCCGCCGTCCTGCCTCGGCCTCCGCCGGCCTCCGCCGCGGGGCGGAGGGCCAAAACGCCCTCGGCTGCCGACGCCGGCGAGGCAAACGCCCTCCCCCCAGGAATGAATGCAAGCCGGGTGTGGAAGCACATGGGCAGTAATGCGACACTATGGGCAGTAGTGTCGCACAGCGGCTTTCCAGGCTTCTGCTGGGATTGCCGCGAGCTGTCGAAAATCATACGCACTGCTCTCGCAAACTCTCTTCGCATGCTTGTGCAATTCATTCGTCCATGACTGTCTCGGCCTGCCCCGGGGTCGTCTGCCGGCCGGCGGACGCAGCTCCGAAGAAGACGGCTGGAAGACCGCACGCCGCACAGGATGATCAACCGGTTGCCGGGCAATCTGCGCCAAAAAAGACATAATTGACGGTGCAACAAGATGCGGTTCAACGGCGGCCGGCGGGCCCTGTCCAGAACTACAGCGTTCGAGATACGACTAATGTATGAATGCGGTATCCTTAACACCTTCCTCAGACACCGCACGTGGAAGCTGTCGAACTTGGTCAACTCATGTTTCCGGAGCCACGCTGTGTGCAATCCGTACAGCAACTTTGTCTGCACGCAGGCTTCGGAGATCTGCAACTTCCGTTGTGTGGACAAGGTGGAATGAGACCAGACTCGGGCAAGGGTGTCGAACTCAGCCCTGGCGCAACCAAGTCGCCTGCTCAGCTCGGAAGCGATCGATCCATCTGCCGCCAAAACACTCCCCAAATAAACCATGGAGTCCTTTTTGGGGATCTGGGCGCCGTCTGGACTCGTCACGCTCCCCTGGCACCGGATTGTCAGCAATTCAAGCTTCCCCCAACTGAATTTGAGGCCGTAGTTCGTGCCAGCGGCAGCAATAGCCGTCATGTACTCCTGCGCGCGCTCCGTGCTAGTGGCTACGATGAGCGCGTCATCCGCGTACACGAGATCCTCCGTGCCCCCCATGCGGTCGCCCAGCGTGACCCTGGCGTCGCGCAGCAGCACGGTCATCACCATGGCGAAGAGAAAGGGTGAGAGAGGACAACCTTGACAGATTCCCGCGTGCTGCTCGCGGGTCCCTGACGTCACGCCGGCCTCGCGAACCGCGAAGTTCCTGCCCGTGTAGATGGCTTGAATCATTGTCAACATCTTCCCTGGGGCTCCGAAGCGCTGCAGCGCTTCCAGCAGAGGCCCCGGCATGACGCTGTCGAAGGCCTTGGCCCAGTCCAGAGCGAGCAGCACGAGCTGGCCCTCTGCGCTCGACCACGTTTCCTCCAGCCTCCGCCTGGCGAGGAAGATGGCGTCGGTGGTGCCGTGGCGCGATTTGAATCCAAACTGGGTGCCCCAGATGCGGCTCTCGGCCCCGGCGCCCTTCAAACGGCGGAGGAGAAGAAACGCAAACAACTTGTACCCGGCCTGAAGCAGGCACACTGGTCTGTAGTTGCCGCAGAGCGTGGCGTCACCCTTTTTGAACAATGCAATCACTAAGGACTTGCGCCAAGATTCTGGCACGACGCCCTGGCCCCAACACCGCCGGCGCAACGCTAGCGCCCAAGCTCTCGCCGGGGAGTCGCGAGCGCAGACCGCTCTCCAGAAGTCGCCGGGGATGCCGTCACTGCCGCACGCCTGGCCCCACTTCATGCGCTTGGCTGCCTCGGTCACCTCCCAGTCTTCGATCTGCCCCAAGTTGACCGGCAAGTCGGGGCCAAGGGGCGTTGTCGACATCGGCGCGGTGTCGCGCGCGGCCCACTGCACCTCCGTCAGGAAGTCTGCCAGCGTGTCCGCGCGGACCTCGGAGTCAACCAGGTCGCCGCGAACGTTGCGAAGTTTGCCTTGCTTCCGCCCGGCCCCTTTACGCAATCGTCGCACCTGGCCCCTGTCGCCCGTCGCCAGGAGGTGTTCCAACCACTCCGCCCTATCCGTTTTCACAGAGCTCTTGACGACGTAATTCAAACGTCTCTCTTCTGCCATGTCGCCGCGTGTTCTGGCCTCGGTGCGCTTCACGATGAGCGTCATGGTGCGGTCTGAAATCCACGGCTTCCGCGGCGCCGGCGGCGCTATAGGTAGCGTGGCGGCTGCCCCTGTTTGAGGGGAACCACGGCTGCAGCATCGATTTCGCTGGCCCCGCCGGCGCCCGCGTCGGCGGCCTCCATCTCGTCGGCAAAGGCCATGGCGAAACGGATGGCATGCTCTGGCAGCCGGAGAGCCCACAAGTCAGGCCGAGTCGGTTGCTCGCGGCGGGCCTCGATCGGCACCATTATGCCCACGTCCGCCTGCACGAGGAAGTGGCGAGACGCCAGTGCCAAGACCTTGTTGCTTGCCACTGATTGCAAATGCTCAACCCAATTCTGTGACACCAAAACAAAATCGATCTGGCCAAAATTGTCTGGCGTGTCAGGGTGAGACGGCTTCTTGCCCACGTTGTAGCAGGTGACCTGACGACGTGCTGGCTCATGAAACATTGCGTTGCCGATGCAGAGTTTGTGATGCTCGCACAGCTCAACCAGCAGGCTGCGGTTGGAAGCGGCGTTGCGCTCAGCTTCCGGGTGCCCAAACACACGCGGTCCCATGATATGCTGTTCTTGCGGGCGGCGCCTGTGCAGGCGCGCGTTAAAGTCTCCGAGCAAAATCATCGGGCCGCGCCGCGACGTCTGAGCGAGGAAAGCTCCACGAGATGTGAAGAACCGCTGCCTGTCCTCGAAGTTATTCCCGTTATGCGGCGCGCACGCGCTGCCGACGATAGCTTTCCCGCCTTGCACCCGCAGCTTCACGTATGCCATTCTTGCTGACTTCTGCCTGAAGCCGACCACACTCGAGCGCAGCCGCGGAGAGATGATGAAGCCAACGCCTGCCGTCTCCTTATCCTCCTCGTCCGCGGACCCAGAGAAAATGAACAAGTAGCCGCCGTCCGATACGTAGTAGTCTGATGTGTCCCTGTGAGTCTCTTGCATGCACAGAATGTCAATGCTCTGTTGGCGCATGTGCCATTCCAGCTCGATCTCTTTCGCGTCCGTGAAACCCTCAACGTTCCAGGTGGCAATCCGGAGCTGCCGCGAGCAAGGTATGAGGCCGCCACCCCGGAAGACACGTGCCTGTCCGGCCCGGTTGAGTAGAGGCTGCTCCACAGTAGTGCCGACTGTGGGTGAAACTACGTCGTTCGTGCATTCATGAATTCTCAAACGATGGTGGCTTATAATTGCAGTATTGCCGACTGCTGCCGGTGAAACTCTGCCCATGTGCCGTGCGTCCTAATGGGGCCCGCTGCCCCTGCCCTTCCCTTTTGGTTCCGCCCTTCATGCCCTTGCCGGCACGAGCGAGCAGATCCACAGACTTGTTTGCGAGGTCCTTGATGAGGGGGTGACCGTGCAAATCTTCCCACGCAGCCCACGCGCCGTGCCACTGGTACTCAACGTCGTGGTCCTTCACGGTCGCTGTCAACGCGTGCTCGCCACCAACGACCACCTCGTAGGGGTCCCCGTCCGACACGTTCACAACGTACGGCACTTTGAATTCCTGCTTCAGGATCCGCTTGAAGCCAAGGCAAAAGTTGCGGGCCGCCCGGTTCGCTGGTGAGCTATATCTTCGCTAGCCCACACCTTCTTCTCGCCGTTGGTGGGGGCGCTGGCACGGAGGACCTCGACTGCACGGTCACGCTCGTCTGTAGTGCCAAACTCTGCAAACAGAATGTCCTTGAACTCGCCTTTCGAGTAAATCTTGGACGGGGCTGGCGAGCACAAGGCCTTGAGGCGCTCCGTCAGCCACTGGATCGACGTGGCAAGGTCCCCCAGGCCGTCCAAATTTCCAACGACCATGCTCAAGGACCTCTTGGACATCTGCGTGAGCGAAGAGGCTGTGGTTTTCGGGGTGGGGCTCGCCGAGGGGGTTTCCTTGATGTACTCCTGGATCTTCATCTCGAACGCGTCCCCTCCCAGAATCTTCTGCGCCATCGTCTCGTACATGGTCTCTAGCTTCTCGACGCGCATCTCCGTGGAGTTGATGCTCGCCTCCACGTCCCCCAACCGGCCGCCGAGGGTCTCCGCAAGGTTCCCGGCCTTGCCGTGTAAGGTCCCGAGCTTCTTTTTGAGGTCCTCCACAACGTTGGTGACCGGGGCGAGCTGCTGCTGGAGGAGTGCCGCAATGCCAGCCATTGTCACTGGCTCGGCCTCGGCCGCCATAGCTTTTCCGAAATCTGGTTGGCGAACAGCGTCCCCGGGGTCCCCCGCCATCGGCACGTACCCCTCGAGGTGGGCCTGCGCGTCGTCCAGGAGAGGGGTGTACGGGGAGTCGGGGCCGTGGCCGGAGTGCTGCTTCTTGGCCGCCATGTTCGCCCACGGGTCGCTCTCCTGGAGGCCGTCCTTGAACAGATGGCCTACCGGGGAATCTGGCACGCGGGACCGAGGCTTCGGGGTAGCAGTACTATGAGCATCCGCCATTGCAGCTACAGTTGCAAGAGGGATCGGAGAGTAAGAGAAAGTGCTCTTGCCAGAAAGTGCTTGACCCAGGGATGGCGAGGTCTTGAGCCACTTGAGCAGATAAACTCCCAGGGGGAACGAAAAATGGCATAAGCTCAAAAACTCGGAGGTCCGCGCGGATTGGATCCGCGCTGGACCCCCCTCCGTGGCGCGCGGAGGGCGCCAGGGGGCGCTGCCAGGGGGGTCCAGCGCGGATCTGAGAAATCCGCGCGGTCTTCCGAGCTTTCATGTTTATGTCATTTTTCGTTCCCCTCGAGGAGGGCCAAAAACCTTCGGTATCCGACGCTGGCGAGGCAATCGCCGCGCTCCTCCTGCAGTCGACGTGCTACAGTGCGGGCGCGGCCGCAAGAGACCCTCGCGAGGAACCCAGCCTGAAAACTTGCGCGCGAGGTGCGCCTGAGGGGAAACTGGAGCACCCTGAACGCAGCAGCTTCTGCGGGAGGTCACCGCGCAGCGCGTGGAGCGAAGAAACGAAGGATCCCCTGACGAAAAGCAGATGGTTTCGTGATGCGCGACCCCACTGTACCAGAGAGGCCTCCCAGATGGGGTCGGAGCAGATGGTGTCGGAGGATCTTGCCGTATCGCCGATGCATCGGCGACGCATCGCCGATGCGATCGGCGATGCATGGGCGACGTCGGCGATGCAGTGGCGACGTCCGCGTGGAGACAATCGGGCTCCACGTCGAGCCGCATCGCCGATGCATCGGCGATGCGGCGCGATCCTCCGACCCCATCTACTCGGACCCCATCTGGGAGGCCCAGATACCAGAAGGAACGCATACTACAGTAGGAGCTCGACCACAAGAAAACGTTCCACAAGAAACCCAACCCCGAGACCCCGGGACGTCCGTTGATTTCTGGTGCGGGAACGTCACGCTCTCCATAGCAGAAGCATCGAATCCCAAGGAACCCAGGGCACCCTGGAGGCAAGCATCAAGTTTCTTTGCATGGGTCTCCACTGTAAGGAACGAAGGTTGCAGACTTGGAAATCGGCATCAACACCAACAGCGGTGCGCCTCTACCGAGCGAAGATGATCTCACAGCCCAGCGTTTGTGGTAATATTCCGGCCACCTAGGAAGCTCAAGTATTACCACCACCACCGAGATCGGGATCGCCTTCCCTCGGTGGAGGCACATCGCCGATAGTGAGCGCTTTTTTATTCGGCGTGTCGCATTGGGCGGCAAAGGGGGGGAGGGGAGAGGGTCTGGCTCCAGACCTCTGCTTTAGTGCGACTGTTTGCAAGAGTGCGGCCTCTGGGGGAGACTCCACCCGCTCGAAACTGTCGACAAAAATCAGCCAAGATCTACTCCATGTGGGGGGGAGAGGGAGGGATTTGGGGCCCGCGCCGATCGGCAAAACAGTGAACAAATAAACGATCACGCATTGGCGCTGGCGTCAACCTCCAGGCCTGCGAGAAGAGGCTTGCTCTAGGTCGGGCCTGTCCTCCTACAGGGGGATTTTGGACGAAAGATAAAGCAATGGCCAACAAATTGTAACATGCCAAAAGGTCGAACATGGCCGAAACATCGCCCCCAGCCTATCTTTGTCCTGACCGTTCCTGATTTTCCCCCCCGCAGAGGGACCGGCCCGACGTGAGGGCCTGCTCAGGCCACAGCGGGCCCCGACCACGAGCCCGCGGCTCCACACGGCAAAGAGAAAGTGCGGGGAGCCGAGCGGCCCGAGGCCCCGAGGAGAGCCCTCCTCCCGAGCCCGCGAGGCGAGCCCCACGCGGGGATCCTGCGGACCCGGGTCCATGCAGGCCCGGGTCCGCCAGGCCCTGCAGACTCCTGCAAGATCCTGCGCCCAAGCCAGGGTCCACGCGAAGGATCCTGCAAGACCCTGCAGCATCCTGCACCCGAACCCGGGTCAGTGCGACCCTGGCCCCGCAGGATCCTGCAAGATCGGGCGCTCTGGCTGACCCCCGTTTGCATTGACCCCCGCCTTAAGGCTCCCGACCCGCATTGGCCCTTGTGGCTCTGGCGTCCTACCTCCGCACGGCAGGGTGCCTCCCAGAGATCGCCTGCAGTCGACCCAGATGATGAGGGTGCACGATAAGGACGCAGGGGCCCTGGAAGGCCGTCTCGAAGCTCTTCGAGCGGGGCGCGGCCAAGGATGAGCCGATGAGGCGAGGATGCAAGAGTTGCCCTTGGTATCACTGCCCATCCTTACTATGCGGGTTGACTGTACAGAACTGATGCTAGGGGGGCGAAGAATGACAGAGACATAAAAACTCGGACGTGCGCGCGGGTTTCTCGGATCGGGCGCCGGACCCCCCTCCCCCCCCTCCCTGGCGCGAGGAGCGCGCCAGGGGCGGCGCCGGAGGCGCCGCCAGGGGGGTCCAGCGCCGATCCGAGAAATCCGCGCGGACCTCCGAGTTTTTACGTCTCTGTCATTCTTCGTTCCCCTAGATGCAGCCGTGGGTCCAAGCACTTCGCGGCAAGCCCCGGGTCAGTCGGGCTGTGCAGTGTCCTGCAGAATTCCTGCAGGGTGCTGCGCGCTAGCCCCAATTAATGCAATCCTGGCTCTGCAGGATCCTGCAAAATCCAGAACGAGCTCTGGCTGAACCCCCGACTGCGTTGACCCCCGTCTCCTGGGCAGGGACCGACCGTCCCGGCATTCCTATAAGCCTACCAGTTCCTAGAATCCAAAAATGTCTAAGAAGAAGAAGAATAACAACAACAACAACAACAACAACAACAACAACAACAACAACAACAACAACAACAACAACAACAACAACAACAACCAACAATCATTTTACCCGAACGCTCAGTGTTCTCACCAGTGCCAGGGTTTTCATGCGACGCAGCAATACCCCCACTTCGTGGGGGGGCAGTTCAAGCTCTACCAAATATCCAAACGACTCTTCGCGACCACCCAAACCCAGCTTCCCGCCCTATGACGTTGGGACACTTCACTTCGTGGCGTGCGGACGACCGTGGCTACTACACTGGCGTGGGGTACACACCCACAGAACTTGGTCACTTATTCGGGGCGCGCGTGTGCCCAGCATCCTGCAATTGTGACATACAATACATGACACAGACAGACAGAGAGAGAGACAGAGAGCAGACAGAGAGAGAGACAGAGAGAGCGGAGTTGGTCACATTTTTGGGGCAAGTTCCTGAGATCGTCGTGTTTTTTGTTGGTCTTGCGCGCGCGAATGTCCACTTTACTTTTTTTTGCAAGGGAATTATTGATTATGTTAGAACAAGAAAAAGTAGCTCGCGCGAGCTCATGTAACATAAATGTTGAAAAACCATTGGTTTTGTGGGAGTCGGACAGCGCGCGCGGGATGAAATTTGGACATTTTTTTTTGAAAAACCATTGGGTTTTTGATGTTTTTATGTTGAAATCGTTACGAAACCTAAGGTTCTGGAAGGATTTCGTCTTGCGCGCGCGAATGTCCACTTTACCTTATTTTTTGCAAGGGATTATTGAAATTTGATTATGTTAGAACAAGAAAAAGTAGCTCGCGCGAGCTCATGTAACATAAATGTTGAAAAACCATTGGTTTTGTGGGATTCGGACAGCGCGCGCGGAAGGACATTTTGACAATTTTTTCTTAAAAAACCATTGGGTTTTTGATGTTTTTATGTTAAAATCGCTACGAAACCTAAGGTTTTGGAAGGATTTCGTCTTGCGCGCACGAATGTCCACTTTACCTTATTTTTTGCAAGGGATTCTTGCAATTTGATCAAGTAAGAACAAGAATTTTCATTTTATAGTGTTTTTTGCAAGGGAAAACGGACTACAACAAAACAACCGGATCCGGTACTAATCCACTTTTCTGAAGCTTTCGCGAAAAAATGATGAAAATGTAGCTGCGGCCTAGGTTTTGGAGGGGGGTCGCGCACCAGGGGTCCCAACAATAATTATTCTTTAGAATAATAATGTTCACCAACAACAACAACAACAACAACAACAACAACAACAACACAACAACAATCACTTTACCCGAACGCTCAGTGTTCTCACCAGTGCCAGGGTTTTCATGCGACGCCAGCCAATACCCCCACTTTGTGGGGGGGCAGTGCAAGCTCTACCAAATATCCACACGACTCTTCGCCACCACCCACACCCAGCTTCCCGCCCTATGACGTTCGGACACTTCACTTCGTGGCCTGCGGACGACCGTGGCTACTACACTGGCGTGGAGTACACACCCACAGAAGTTGTTAAGCCTACGTTCGTACACCCACAGAAGTTGTTAAGCCTTGTTAACCCACAGAAGTTGTTAAGCCTTCCACAGAACATCTGCCCCTGGCAGGCGCGCGAACCCCGTTGCAAGAGCGTGCGAAAGTAGCTCGCGCGAGCTCATGTAACATAAATGTTGGAAAACCATTGTTTTTTTTTAGGATTCGGACAGCGCGCGCGGGTGGAAATTTTGAAAAGTCGTGCAGCTGTTTTTCGAGGACCTACGGTGCGATTCGTGTGATTTTATGATGCGCGGTGCTAAAATTCTTAAGAACCCAATGGTTTTTGGAGATTTCGGCGTGCGCGCGCGAAGAAAAAACGAATGTGTCCCGCATGGTATTATTTGACAGGGATGATGGCCCTGGCAGGTGCGCAACCGTTGTCGCAGAAGTTCGAAAAAGTTGCTCGCAAAAGCCCGTTTGACAGAAATGTTTAAAAAGTGTTGGGTTTCCTACGAATCCGCAAGAGCGCGCGGGATGAGATTTTGACATTTTTTTGTTGAAAAACCATTAGTTTTTTGATGTTTTTATGTTGAAATCGCTCCGAACACTAAGCTTTTGGAAGGATTTCGTCTTGCGCGCGCGAATGTCCACTTTACCTTATTTTTTGCAAAGGATTCTTGAAATTTGATTATATTAGAACAAGAAATGTCATTTTATAGTGTTTTTTGCAAGGGAAAGCGGGGGGGAACAAAACAACCGGATCTTGATCACATCGAATTACCTGAGGCTTCCTCACGAAAATGATGAAAATGTAGCTGCGGCCTAGGCGGCGCAGGGGGGCCGTGCACCAGGGGTCCCAACAATAATTATTCTTTAGAATTAATAATGTTCAACAACAACAAACACAACAACAATAACAACAACAACAACAACAACAACAACAGCAACAGCAACAGCAACAGCAACAGCAACAGCAACAGCAACGGCAACAGCAACAACAACAATCACAACAACAGCAATACAATCAACAACAACAACAGCAATACAATCATCAACAACAACAACACCAACAACAACAACAACACCAATACAACAATACAACAACAACACAACAGCAGCAACAACAACAACACCAACACCAACACCAACAGCAACAACAACAGCAGCAGCAACAACAACTACGTTCTTAGAACATAAACCCGATGAGCTAAAACAAGGCAGTCCCAGCCAAACATGCTCTAAGAACTTTCCATAGAAACCAAACAAGGTTCTTAGAACATTGTTTGGTGGGCCTGTAGGCAAGCCAGGACGCTTCGCCACTGCTCGAGTCTCGAAGCTCCCGAACTCTTCATCCTTCGCTCTCTCCGGCTGGAACTCTCAAAAAAAAACACCGGTTTGCGGTGTCCTGGTTTCTGGGGCCCTGGGCTTCCCGCCCTGTCACCCTGCCTTGCTCCCGCTGGGGAGGGGAACACAATGGGCCCGTATCATAAGGATGCGCGATAAGGATGCGCATGTTGGCGTCTGCTCGCCGTGTTTTTCCTTTTCCTCCTTCCCCTCCTCCTCCTCCTTCTCCTCCTCCTTTGGACCTGCCTAGCCAAGGGCGCTGGCTTGGCAGATGCTGGTTACAAAATTCTTGCCGAAGTTCGAAGGGAGTTCCTCGGTCGTTGCCCGCCTCCGCCCTGTTCTGCGTGGTCGATGAGGCTGCAAGGGCCTTGGACGCCCACTTCGGAGCTTTCCGGGCGGGGTGCGGCCAACGCGAGTGGCCAAGGACGGACAGAGGAGGCAAGGATGCGAGGGAACCCTTGGGAAGGCTGCCCATCCTTACCATGCGGGCTGACTGTAGAACGATGACCCAGACTGAGCGTGGAAGCGTGGATGCCGATATTGGCCACCGTCGGGAGCGCGACCACAGAGCTTCACCGACCTGCGAGAGGCTGGTCGACGCCAATTCGTGGACCATCCTCGCGAAGCGGCGACGGCCGCTGTGGACTACGGACAAGAACGACGTCGCGAAGATCCCGCGACGTCCTGGTCATGGTCATCGTGTCTCCTCCCTCGACGTGGGATGTTCAGCGGCGGTTCCGATGGTAGAGGGCTCCACATCGAGCCACATCGGCGATGCATCAGCGATGCGGCGCGATCTGGAAGGCGATGGGCGGGGGGGGGCTGCAGTCGCAGCCGTCCCAAGGAGGAAGAGGAGGACGGAGGAGGAGGGGGAGGAAACGGAAGGGGGAGGAGGAGGATGAGGATGAGGAGAAGGAGGAGGAGAAAGAGGATGGAGGAGGAGGAGGAGGAGGAGGAGGAGGAGGAGGAGGACGGAGGAGGAAGAAGGAGGAGAAGGAGGTGAGATCGGCGGGGGGGGCTCCAGTCCCAGCCGTCCCAGGACGGCTCCTGCTGTCTCTGCTCCTGCGCGGAGGAGTGCTGTCGTCGTCGTCGTCGTCGTCGTCGTCGTCGTCGTCGAGGGGTCGGCGGAGGGGGGTGGAGGCGGGCGAGGGGAAGGGCGAAAGAACAACAACATAGAACACAACCCCGACGCGCTCTAAGATCGGCCTTGCTTGCGTCCAGGAGGGACAGAAAGAGGAAGAGGATGCGGCAGAGAAGGACGAGGTGGGAGAAGACAGAGGTGGAGGGGAAGTGGGAAGGGGAGGGAAGGAGGCAGACGAAAAAGAGAGAGAGAGAGGGAGATGGGAAGGACCTGGAGGGGGAATCGCACCTCGAGGCAAGGAGGGAGGAGGAGCCGAAGCGCCGGTGCTCCCAAGTAACCTAACTTCGCGCTTCGCACCGCGCAGCGCGCGCGCTCTCGCGCCATCCATCCGCGTGCTGCACGAGCGACAGTATGACATCCTCGTCGGGGAAGTCCTGGACGCTCCTGTGCGCGGCTCTCAGTCGGGCACCGCCCTGCGAAGGGCCCCCTCACAACAGAGAGAACCGTGCGACATCTGGCAGTCTGCATGCAGATCAACACGACGATGTGGCTCACGACGGCCGAGTGCTGAGACCCAGCAGCCCTGGGATGCCGACTCGCGCCACCTCCCCAGCCCAGGCCGCGAGGACCGAAGCGCAATTACCTTCGCCGGACCTCTGAAGATGACCCTCGTTCCCGGTCTCTGGGGGGGAGGAGGAGGAGGAGGAGGAGGAGGAGGAGGAGGAGGAGGAGGAGGAGGAGGAGGAGGAGGAGGAGGAGGAGGAGGAGGAGGGCGGAGTGGGAGAAGGAAGAGAAGGAGGAGGAGGAGAGGAGGAGGAGGAGGAGGAGGCAGGATCCCGATGCCCCGGAGGCCCCGCAGGGTGCCCGAAGCGCCCCAAAGTCCAGATCCTCGATCTCCCGAGCCCATGCCTCGGGCGGCGCACCGCCGCCCCGGCGGGTTCCTTGGCCTTGGCTTTGGCCTTCGCCTGGCGCGGGGCGGCGCGGGGCCTCCCCGCATAGGTCGGGGCACCTCCTCCTCCTCCTCCTCCTCTCCTCCTCCTCCTCTCCTCCCCTCTATCCTCCTCCTCCTCCTCCTCCTCCTCCTCCTCCCCTCCATCCTCCCCTCCATTCCCCTGATCTCCCTCCTACCTCCGTCCTCCTCCTTTCTCCCTCTCCCTCTCCTCCAAACCTCCTCCTACCTCCCTGCCTCCTTCCTGATCTCTGCCGCCCTCTGGCCCCCTCCTTCCTCCTCCTCTCTCCTCCCTCCTCTCCTCCCTGCGCTGCTCTCCTCCTCCCTCCTCCTCCTCCTCCTCTCCTCAGTCCTCGTCTCGTTCCTCGTCCTCCTCCCCCTTCCCTCAAAAAAAAAAAGATCCGTCCTCCTCCTCCTCCTCGCTCCCCCTCCTCCTCCTCCTCCTCCTCCTCCTGCTCCTCCTGCTCTCATTCCTCCTCCTCCTCCTCCTCCCTCCTCCTCTACCTCCTCCTTCTCCTCTTCTCTCCCCCTCCCCCCATCCTCATCCTCCTCCTCATCCTCCTCACTCCTCCTCCTCCTGCTCCTCCTCTTCCTCCTGCTCCTCCTCCTACTCCTCCTCCCCATCCTCCTCCCCCCTTCCCTCCTCCTCCCCTCCTCTCCTCCTCCTCCTCCTCCTCCTCCTCCTTTTCCCCTCCTCCTCCTCCTCCTCCTCCTCTCCTCCTCCGCCTCCTCCTCCTCCTCCTCCTCCTCCTCTTCCTCCTCCTCCTCTCCTCCTTCCTCTCCCCCTTCCTCCTTTCTCCTCCTCCTCCTCCTCCTCCTCCTCCTCCTCCTCCTCCTCCTCGCCCCTTCCTCCTCCTCCTCCCTCCCTCCTCCTCCTCCTCCTCCTCCTCCTCCTCCTCCTCCTCCTCCTCCTCCTTCTCCCAAATTCCTTTTCGCTATGAACAGCTCCCCCCTGTCGCACCGCCAGACGTGTTGATAGGGCGGGCCGGGTGTTTCGCCTGAGACCCCATCGCCATGTATGATCCTGGAGGGCAGGTCGTTTTTCAACTGTGACTCTCGCCTTGGCGCCGCGCACATTCGCCTTACAAATTTGCATCAGTTTCACAAATGGAGGGCGCTTCCTTTTTAACATGTGACTCTCGCTTTACGGCCGCGCACATTCGTCCGAAAGGTTCGCAGCAGTTTCACGGATGGAGGGCGGCTCCTTTTCACCATGTATTTTTCGCCTTGGTGCCGCGCACGTTCGTTGTAAACGTTTGCAACAATTTCACGGATGGAGGGCGGTTCCCTTTCAAAATGTGCCAGGAATGGCGTTCCGGCACCATTTAGGATTGTATGTCAAGACGCTGTTGAAATCCCAGGAAAAGCTTTCTGGCACGATGCAAAAATAGTCAGCACGCAACAATCACGTTGATTCGCGACGTTGAAGCTGCTGCTGCAGCGAGGCCAGGTGGGGACGGGGACTGGGGACAAGTGCCCATCGGTCGGGAGGGCAGGCGTTGAGAGGGGGTTGGGTTTCTGCCCGCCCCCTGAAGACCTGAAGAGGAGGGAAGAGGGAAGACCGTTCGCCTCTCGGAATAGGAAGGCGCCTAAAGTACTTCTTGGGGTATGGGAATCCCAAGATACATACGTTCAACGACCGATGGGTACATATGGGATGCGGAGCCCAGTATCCAGTGTGGGCCCAAATATTACGTCGGCGGTCGCATTGAACACTAGCCACTCCGCAGACATGTGCACCTTACCGAATGCCTGGCGTGAACAGAGCAAGCATATGGAACCTGTTGGGAGGGCATCCCCCTTGGCCGCTCGAGATCATCAGCCGATGCCTGTTACTAGGGATTTTAACAACATATCTCTTCCTCGTAGCTTGATCGAAAAAAAGCTCCTTCCCTAAGATCCCTTCCCCGCCGGGGGGGGGAGGGGGTTCCTGAGGAAGGGGTATGCCCGGGGAGGCCACGGGGGGGGTCACGGGTCTGAACACCACCCTCCGAAGGGGGGTCCCAGGGCCCACGAGGCCCCCCAGAGGCCCCACGAGGCCCCCAGGCGCCCCCAAGGAACCGCCAGGAAGCCCCGGGAGGCTCCCAGAAGGCTCCCAAGGCACCCCCAAGACTTCGTGGGGGGTTCTCGGGTAGCTCTTGGGAGCCTCTTGGGCACTCTTGGGAGCGTCTGCTCCCGACCTTCCCGAATGCCTCGTCCATCGTGGGGGTCGTCGTCCAGGGTCGGCGACACCAGCCGTACAGAATGCCTTAGCAATTACTATTCCTCCTAAGCCATATCATTCTCCTCGTCTCCTCCTCATTCTCGGCCTCGTCATTGTCCTCCCCCTCATGCCGCGGCTGGCCTTGCCGCTGCCAATCGGGCCGGCTTCTTTCTCTGCGCTGGCCGAGTTGTTGTCCTTGCTGCTCTTCCCCTTGCCCTCGCAGCATGGGAGTCTGTCAAAGAGGACAAGGACATACGCACACGGATGTAAACGGCAACCAATTGTGGAGGTCGGAAAGGGGTGTGGCATAAAAGGCAACGGTGCAAATCGTAGAAATGGCGATGATTTTTCTGCGGTCGATAACATAGCCAAATTCCCCTCTACATCAAATTAGCACCACACCCCTTTACACCATACAGTGCGGGCACGACCGCAAGAGACCCTCGCGAGGAACCCAACTCTGAGAACCCGTGCGCGAGGTGCACCTGAAGGGAATCCAGGAGCTCCCTGAACGCAGCAGCTCCTTCAACGGCTGCGGGAAGTCAACGCGCAGCGCGAGGAGCGAAGAAACCCAGGATACCTGCCGAGAAGCATATGGTTTCTTGATGCGCGCCCCCACTGTACCCATTTCTCCAACCTCCAGACCACAAGTTCCCAGGTCTTGCGTGCAAGCGGTTCGGAGACCGGCCAGGAGTGACAAACATTCCGCCACTGATGACCAGTGCTCGAGAGAGCGCACAAAGACACGCACAGGCCATCATTTCCTACCGTACTCCTTTCTCCTCCTCCTTCTCCTCGTCCTCCTCCTCCTCGTCCTCGTCCTCGTCCTCGTCCTCCTCCTCCTGCTCCTCCTCCTCATCCTCACCCTCCCTTGGCGGCGCGCAGAGGGGAGTAGAGGGAGAGGGGGAGGCTTCTTAGAAGGGAGCCGCTTCTTGCAAGGCGCTAAGAAACCTTCCGCCCTCCTCCTATCCCCCTCTGCGCGTGGCCGACTCCCACTCTGGATCCGCATCCTCGTCCGCCTGCTCTTGAATCCGTCTCCTCCCCTGCCTCCTGACGCGCCAGGAGCCCAAGAGGGTGAACTCGAAGGGACCCTGGGAGCCCTCCCACACCAGATGGCCCCCATGACCCCCAACATGCACCCAAGAGGCCGCCAAGAGGCAACCGAAGGTCCCCCAGAGACCCCCAACAAGGCCCCCAAACGACCGAACATGATGCCTTTTGATCACGGCTTTGAGTTTCCGAACGAATGGACGCAAAACACCACGACGTGTATTCGACAACGCCCCCTCGGAAGAAAGGTATCCGTGGCTCCCGAGGGGTCGGTGATGCGGCGTAAGCCAATTGAATCACGATCTTGAAAAAGAAGCGCCGTCCATACCTGCAGCTATGCAACGTTCAAGAGTCGTTAACCTGATACACGGGGACGTCCCAGGCGAGGCACAAGGTCGCAAAGGGGCCGCCGTCCATCTCTGCAAAGGTAGGAGGTGCCAAGAGCTAGATTGTAGACTGGACCGCCCTCCATCAGCGTAGCAATTGTAAACCTGAATGCTTCTCATCATGCCCGGCGAAAACTCGGTTTGACAAAACACCGCCCTTCATCCGTGTGACTGGTGGACATTCCAACCTTCAGGGCCACCACATGAAAGAACTCCCGCGCGAGAGCCAGAATAATAAACTGGCTGTCCTGCATACGGCAGCCGTTTTGCCCAATCAACGCGAATATGCTCAGCACTGGCGCGAGAACCGGATTTCGAAGGCGGTCTCCTCCCTCCGCGTGGCCAGCTGCTGCGAGCCGTCCAGACGAGCAGACGAGCACGCGCAGCGCGCGCGCGCGCCCTTGAGAAGGGGGCCGCCCTCCACCCGTGCGACCGCGAGCAACTGCAGGCTCTCGGGCTGCACGCGCTGCGGGGCAGCCCCGGGCGAAACGCGGAGGCTCCACAGAGCACCAAGCCACGCGCCCTGGGGGAGGAGGAGGAGGAGGAGGAGGAGGAGGAGGAGGAGGAGGAGGAGGAGGAGGAGGAGGAGATAGATGAGGAGGAGGAGGAGGAGGAGGAGGAGGAGGAGGAGGAGGCGCAGTCCGCGACGCTCGCTTCTTGTTCCTCGCGCCCTCGCGCCGCGGCCCTAGCGAGCGGCGCCTCTCCAACTCCAGAGCGCTCCAGCCCAAGCCACGACGCGCGCCGACGCGGCTCTCTTCGCGCTCCCCGTCGGGTGGCCCAGACAAGCAGCAGAGGGAAGGGGGCCAAGAAGGAACGATACGGGGGGGGACTGGCTCAGGGGATGGGGCAATATTGCGCTGAAGTCGGCGATATGCAGCCGATAGATCGGCGACAGGCCCCGGACAGCGACTCTGGACTTTTCTGGGCGGGGTGTGCTATCATGGCGCCGATCGTCGACCAACAGGGGGTCGATGCAAGCTTTCGGGTCACAAGTCGGCTCTCCGACGGCCTTCTGGACGATCCAAACACCCCCAGAACGCTCTCGCCAAGGCGCAGCTGCTGAACATACACAAACACACACATGCACACACACAGACACACACACACACACTTTATGTTTGAATTCGGCGGCGCAGAGGGTCCTCAAGCGCAGGCAGCAGATGGAGATGCTAATTGCGATCGAACGTTGTCGAAGGCACAGTATACGAAACGTCGCATACTTTAACATGCGAACGATGGTGCCCAAACGTAGACATGCAGGTGGACACGCCTGCACACACACACACACACACACACGAGGCTGGAACACCTGCGAGAACCGACGAATGTGTACGAGGACCGACGAGGACGTCCGAGCCCATCCCCCCGAGCCGATCCCCCCCAACTCTGCCCCCTGAAGGGCGGAGGTCATCAGAGAGAGAGATCGGCGAAAGATCAGCAATGGGCCCCCCTTTTGCGGACCACCGTGCTCGTGAGTGGGGTGGGCCATCGGGCCGTGCCACCGGGCCCCTATCGGCGACGAATGGGCGGTTGGGGGTCGATGCGGCCTCCCCCGAGCCTGCCCCAACGGCTTTCGGTTCTCGCAGCTTCCGGGGCGATCCGGGCACCCAGAACGCTCTCGGGAAGGCGAGGCCGCTGGGAGGCCTCTCCCGAGGCTGGAAGACCGCCGATCACCGAGATCGTCCGGAGATCTCGAACCTCGAAGCTCGCATCTTCCCCTGAGCTTGGCCGAGGCATCCTCACCCAGGGGAGCCCAGAATCGAATCGACAAGTCGGATCGGCGATCGAAATGAATCGGGTCGGCGGAAATCGGCAGCCGAATGGGGAAAACGTCGAATCGGCGGAAATCGGCAGGCTAGTGGGCCTCCATTGAGAAATCGGATCCCAAATCGGAATCCGAGGTCGAATCGAATCGGAAGCGGAAGCTTTTGAAATCGAATCGAATCGAATTGGAGGAATCGAAATGAGGCCTGTCGCCTGCGTCCACCCTTAGGTCGGGCATGTCGTGCTACAGGCGGATTTGGGGCAAAAACTAGAGAACAGTCAGAACATAATAAACAACTAATCGAAAAACCGTCCCCTGACTATTTTTGTCTATTTCCCTACCTAGGCTCTGCCTAGAGGGTTCTTACTCTCTTAGCTTAAAGGGGCCGGGCAGTGGAACGCGCCCCGGGCGGTTCCCCCAGTCCCCGCCCCGCGGTTCCCCCAGTCGCGCCCCCTGGGTTCACCCAGCTTAGTTTTGCTTAGCTTAGCTTAGCTTAGCTTACCTTAGCTTAGCTTAGCTTATCTCATCTTAGCTTAGCTTAGCTTAGCTCAATTTAGCTTAGCTTAGCTTTGCCTAGCCTAGCTTAGCTTAGCCTAGCCTTAGCTCAGCTTACCTTACCTTAGCTTAGCTTAGCTTGGCTTAGTTTAGCTTAGCTTTGCCTAGCCTAGCTTAGCATAGCTTAGCTTACCGTAGCTTAGCTTAGCTTAGCGCAGCATGGCGCAGCGCAGCATTAGCACAGCATAGCATAGCATAGCATATCATAGCATAACCAAGCATAGCATAGCATAGCATAGCATAGCTCAGCATAGCATAGCATCGCATAGCATAGCACAGCTTGTTGCACCGATCTGGGAGTTGCTGCTGCTGTCCAGTTTCGTAGGAACGTTCGGTGTAGCAAGTGTTGCACAACCTTGCTCAATGCCAAATCGTGAAGTGTAGGCCGGATCCGGAGCATTCTCAAGCACACCCGGTGAGCGAATGCAAACACATGCGTGTGTCTGTGTGTGTGCGGAGGCAGCACAACAGCAAAACCAAGCAAAAGCAAAAACAACAGCAAAGCAAAAACAACAGCAACAGCAAAAACAAAAGCAAAGGCAAAGGCAAACATGAAGGCAAGAGCAATAGCAAAGACAATGCACAGCAACAGCAAAACCAATGCGAAAGTGTAGATGTAGATTTAGATGTAGGTGTAGATGTAGATGTATATGTAGGTGTAGATGTATATGTAGATGTACATGTAGGTCTAGATGTCGGTGTAGATGTAGATGTAGATGTGAGTGTAGCTCTAGATGTAGATGTATATGTAGATGCATGTGTACATGTAGATGTAGCTGTCGGTCTAACTGTATATGTAGGTATGAAGCTGTACTAGTACTAGTACTACTACTACTACCACTACTACTACTACTACTACTACTACTACTACTACTACTACTACTACTACTCCTACTCCTACTCCTACTCCTACGACGACGACGACGACGACGACTACGACTAAAACTACTACTACTACTACTACTACGACTACGACTACGACTACTACTACTACTACTACTACTACTATTACTACTACCACTGCTGCTGCTACTACTCCTACCACCACCACCACCACCACCACCACCACCACCACCACCACCACCACCACTACTACTACTACTACTACTACTACTACTACTACTACTACTACTACTACTACTACTACTACTACTACTTCTACTAAGACTACTTCTACTACTACTACCGCTACTGCTACAACTGCGACGATGAGGAGAAGGAGGAGGACGGCGTTTACCGTTACTACTAATGTTGCTCCCCTCGGGGCTCCAACTCCTAAGTAGGGTCGCTCTGGGATAATTTTGAATATTCCTCCTTCGGGGGCGCGCAAACATGGATTAGCGATCCATGGATTTGGCGCGCGGTCGTCAAATCCACGGATCGGGGAAAGTGCCCTCCCCAAAATGCGGCCAATGCCGCCTTGCTTGGCGTCGGAAATCTGGGATTCCCCGTGCAAATGGGACCGGTCGCCAATCCACGCCCCCTTGATCCATGTTTGCGATCGCCTGACTCCGGTAGAGGAACACGCCCGACTTACGTCTGCCCCCTTCCCCCGGCGTTGCCCCCCGAGGAGGGGGGACGAGGAGGAGGAGGAGGAGGAGAAGGAGGAGGAGGAGGAGGAGGAGGAGGACGAAGACGAGGAGGAGGAGGAGGACGAGGAGGAGGAGGAGGAGAAGGAGGCGGAGGCGGAGGCGGGAGGGGCGAGGAGGAGGAGGAGGAGAAGGAGGAGGAGGAGGAGGAGGAGGGGAGATGAGAGGAGGAGGAGGAGGAGGAGGAGGAAGAAGAGGGGGAGGAGGAGGAAGGAGGAGGAGGAGGGAGGAGGAGGAGGGGAGGAGGAAGGAGGAGGAGGAGGCCATTGCCCCCCAAGGGGGCGGAGGGTGGTCGGAGAGGGGCGGCGGGCGGCGGCGCTCTCGCCTGCTCGGCCGCGCCCGCCTTGCCCTGCCCTTTCGCCGCGGTCTCGGGAGGGGCGGGCAGGGAGAGCACGAGGGGCACCAAGCGCGGGAGGAGGAGAAGGAGGAGGAGGAGGAGGAGGAGGGTGGAGGAGGAGGAGGGTGGAGGAGAGTGTAGGAGGAGGAGGGTGTAGGAGGAGGAAGGTGTAGGAGGAGGAGGAGGAGGAGGAGGAGGAGGAGGAGGAGGAAAAAGGAAGGGGGAGGAGGAGGAGGACGAGGAGGAGAAGGACGAGACGAGGAGACGACATGAGAGGAAGAGGAGGAGGAGGAGGAGGAGGAGGAGGAGGAGGAGGAGGAGAGGAGTGTGGAGGGAGGAGGCGGGAGGAGGAGGAGGAGGAGGAGGGGAGGAGGAGGAGGAGGAGAGAGGGTAGGCGGAGGAGGGGAGGACGAGGGTGTAGGAGAGGTGGCGGGGAGGAGGAGGAGGCGGGCGGAGGAGGAGGAGGAGGACGTGATGAATGATAATGACTGATGAAATGATGATGATGAGGAGGAGGGAGGAGGAGGAGATAGATGAGGAGGAGGAGGATATAGATAATGATGATGATGATGATGCTGATGATGATGACAATGACAATGACGATGATGATGATGCGGATGCTGATGGTGATGAGGATGATGATGCTGATGCTGATGCTGCTGCTGCTGAGGAGGAGCAGGAGGAGGAGGAGGAGGAGGAGGAGGAGGAGGAGGAGGAGGAGGGGGGAGAGGAGGAGGAGGAGGAGGAGGAGGAGGAGGAGGAGGAGGAGGAACAGAGGAACAGACCGAGCGCACCCAGGCGCGTTGTTCGGGCGATGCCAAGTGCATTCTAGCCCTGACTATGAGCGGCGCTTGCAGCGGCAGGCGCAGAGGCAGCTGAAATTTCTTCCACGGCCATGCCGTGGGTAGCTGCGCGCAGAAACTTGGCGAGGCCATCGCGCCCAGCGTGGGCGCGCGTGTATTCTCGTTTGTCTATTTGGGCGAGATTCTCTCGCAGTTTCTTGGTGATTCCCGTGCAGGGTGCGGCAAGGTGGCGCGGGTCCTCGGTTGCCGTCTTGCCGCACCCGCGGCGGCAGAAGTACAGGCGGTACTTCTGCATGAAATGGAGCTTATGGCTGGCGTGCAGCTCGCGCCCAGAAGTGGTGATAGTGCCCTGTACTGGCACTATCTGGTCACTGGCTGACGGCAGAGGCGGCTGGTGGGTGCACGGCGTGGCACAGGCCTGGCGTACTTTACACTTGTCTGTGGTGAGCCCGCAGCGGGGGCACAGGTACTTGCCCGCTCTGAGCTCAAAGGCGTGCTGGCTCGATTGCATGGCTAACTGCAGCTTGGTGAGGCGCGGGCCTTTGGCCTGCGAGGGTCGCTCCGCGACCCACGGATCAACGGCAAGCGTGTCAGCTAGGGCGCGGCGCGCCCTCCTGCGGATGAGGGTGCACTGGGCATCGCGCAGGTCAGTGGGAGGGGCCTGTCCTACAAGCGCTGCCTCGTAAGACTGTTGGGCCGCTACACCTGCCCATGCATCGGCCGTCGCGTTGCCGATAGTGTGAAGGTATCGCACAGGGTCTGAGGCTAGGCCAGGTGACTCCTCGCTGTGTGAGGGCGCCCAGATCACAGTGAACTGACTAGTGCCACGTGCACGAATTGCTTTGGCAATTCGTGCCCACATGTCCTGAAGGGCGCCATCGCTGGGGCGCAAGTGTCGATTCGTCCGCCATCCGTCGTGCAGCGGCATGTGGTCTGTAATGAAACAGAGGTCGCCCTTCCAGCGTTCTAGGGCGAGCGCGAAAGCTAGCAGCTCTGTACGGGGCACAGTTTGAAAGTGGCCCTCGAGGCCCGACATTATTCCTCCCCAGGGGACCCACTCCCCGAAGAGGCACTTCATAGCAGCACAGGCGGTCCCCACTCTTCGGCGACGTGGGTCATCACTGTACTGACCTCTGGAACCGTCTCCGAAGAGAGTGAGGGTGCCGTCGCTACTGACGCAGTCCCCCCAATCCCGCCCAACCCAGCTCCACCCGCCCCCCCCCCCCATGAAGCAAAGAGCGGGCGCGTGTCAGCGCACGCAGGCAGGCCACGGAGCCAGTAGGCGGGAGCAGCCTCTGCTCCAGCCAGGGCAGAGGGCAACGGGGCGTCAGAATCCGCGTAGTCCTCGTGGTCGCGGTTGCAGGGGCACAGCCAGACCCTGTGCATGAGCGTCTCGTCGGCCTCTCCGCATCTCGGACAGGTTGGAGTAGCGTTGTACCCCGTCTCGATGAGCCGGCTTCTGGGCCATTGCGCCCCCGCGACCACGCACGGGTTGAGGGCCGACTGGTCGTGCTGGCACTTCCTCGTGAACTTCTCCATCTCGTTGGCAACTATGTGGACGTCTGGGCCCCCCACGTTGCAATCCTTCTCCATGTGGATGTTTGGCAGCGTCCTTCCAGAGGCTCCTCTCGAGGGACAGGCAGAACTCGTGGACGAACTCCGCAGGGTCCACGTCGTAGCGCTTGTCCTCCCAGTCGGCTTGTCCACTGTGAGGTAGCTGCCATTCCTGGGTATGGGTCCCGCCTGCCCAAGGTGGTCGTGACCACTCCGTTGGCGTCGGGCAGGTCCAGCCAGCGTCCAGGAGGATGGCCTGGATGGAGGAGATGGGGCCCATGACCTCCCTCCACTTCTTCCTGCCGCGCGTGATCGACTCGTTGTAGATCAGATTCCACGCCTGCGTGACCCGCATGTGGTGTTCTGGGTACTGCATCCAGAAGTTGAGCGACTCGGCGATCGACTGGCGCCTGAGCTCGATGGCGGGGTCCTTCTTCCTCATGACGACGGCCAGGGCTGTGGAGAGACAGCGGCCAGGGACCTTCCCCGCAGAGGCCTGGGTGGCCTGGCGCCTCTGGTCGAGGATGGCCGCTGGGGCGAGGCCCATGATCTGGTGGCCGTAGGTCCCCTGCGGCCTGGAGCCCGTGTTCCACAAGCCCTTCGCGATCTTGGCGAGGGAGGCGCGCTTCCTGACCTTGGCGACGATGCGGTGAGTGCGCCTCCTCGCAGTTTTGGCCCTCTTGGTGGCCTTGGCCACGACCCGTCTCTTGGCGCCGCCCACGTCGATGCCGAGGTCGACCGCGCTGTTGGCCACCTTGACGTAGTAGCCCTTCTGCTTGAGGCCGTCATGCACTGCGTAGGCGATCGTCTGGTTGGAGGCGACGACGGTGGTCTTGGGGGCGAGACTCGAAGCCCCGCGCCCGTCATACCGGCGCAAAGGTCGGCGCCGACGCCGATCAAATCCTTGACGACCTGTTTGGTTTGGCCCTCTGTTCTCGCGACCGTGTCGTCCACGAACGTCCACAGGCCCGCGTAGGTGCGGTTAATGTGGGCCCTCTGCAGGATCGGCCCCAGGTAGACTTTGGCGAGCTTGCCGCCATTGCAGCTGCCCGCGACAATGGACCTCTCGGCATCTATGATGTCGCTGACCCAGCCGTGCATGCGCAAGTACCTGGGCGCCAGGTAGAGCTGCACCTCCAGCGCCACGACGATCGGGGGGAAGTTCGCCCCGATGGCGGCGTCAAAGAGGAGCGCGTAGCAGACCGAGTCGCAGAACTTCTCTACGTCCATCAGCAAGGTCGCGAAGACGATGCAAAAGGTCGCTGCCGTCTCGTCGAGCAGCGCCCTGACAAGCGCTGCTCTTAAGGCGTTGGAGCCTTTGATGGCGGTGTCCCAGAATTCCCCGAGCTCCTTGGGCCACTCGTCGGCGACGCTGGAGCGGACCTTGGCCCACGTCTTGGGGATGGTGGGGGGCATGCCCAAGATTCTCTCTCCACCTGCGGGCTCGGGGGCCATGGCCCCAATGGTGGCGCAGAGCTGCTGCGGCCACAGTCCGTTGGCCTCCACGTGGTTGTAGATGTCGGCGAGCTCCTGGATCCCTTTCTCGGGGAGCCTCTGGATGTCGATGGGGCCGATGTTGCCGACTCCTCTCGCCTTCTTCGGGTTGGCGGCGCCCACGATGGCTTGCACGTGCTGCGGCTCGATGGGCGAGAGAGGGTCCTCTTTCGCAAGTCGCACGGCCTTCTCGTAGGCGCTGATGATTTGCTTGGCGTTGTAGCTGTCGGACGCCCAAATGGAGCGCCAGGTGTCGGCGGAGTGGTTCATGACCGTGGATGGGTCGCCCGCCGTCCTCTGGGGCTGCTTGTCCTCCAGGCGCGGCGCCTTGGGGTCGGTGACCATGCGGCGCAGCTTGCCTGGTGACTCCTTCCACGCCAGCTTCGCCCAGTCGAGGTACCGTTTTCGCGCTCTACCTGCAGCTCTCGCCATGGCCTTGTGGGTCCACTCCATGGTGGTGGCGCTGATGCGGTGCAGGTCGTCCTCGTCGCAGAACTCGAGGGTGGCGAGCTGGGTCTTCCACTCTTCGATCTCCTGCGGGTCGGTTTTGCTACCGAAGTGCTCCTAGGAGAACTCGGGGTTCTCTAGGTCGTCCAACTTATTCATGATTGTCTTGTGGATGTACTGGCGGGCTTTGGGGTCCTTGCCGTTCGTGACCAGCGCGGTGTACCTCGCGACAAGAGTGCTGAGGTGCTGCCACCAGGTGGCCTCGGGGTCCTTGAGGTACGCTCTGCCAGGCGACGCCTGCATCGTCTGCTTGGTGGTCCTGTACCCCTCTGCCCTGCCCTGGTACCTGGCCCTGTCCTCGACGGGGACCGCATGCGTCTCCAGGAAGGCGAGCTCCAGGGTCGCGATCCACTGCGCGTACTTCGAGTTGATGTCCTCCGCGAGGTTCGGCTCATGGGTGTGGAAGATATGTCCTCTGCCCTCCTTGGTGCCGACCTTTGTGCCATCGAACTTCGGGAAGTTGCTGACCTCGTCGGCGGCGTCGCCCCAGTTCTCCTGGGGGATGACGAAGGGGGCGGGGTCCTCCTTGGCCGTCTCGCGGTTGGCGTACAGGGCGTCGAACTCGTCGCGCAAGTGCTCTGGTAGACTTTCCCTCCTGGTACGCAACGCCTCCGCACGAGCCTCGGACCTTTTGCTGTTTGGGTCCGCGACCTTTTTGGGTTTGGCTCGTGC